AGGGTGGCCGAGGGATGCAGGTGGGCACCTCTCCCCCCAGAATGGCACAGCCAGCACCAGCGCTCACCATGTCTGAGACCGGCTTCACCGTGTGATCAAAGCCCACGCAGTTCTCGTCCACCATCCTCAGAGCCTTCTGGAAGGCCTCCTCAAAGTTCCTCCCAATGGCCATGACCTCCCCTGCAGAAGGTGGGGTGAGCAGGCGGGTCCTGTGCCTGCCACGTGCCCAGCAGTGCCGTCCCTCTGTGCTCACCCACGCTCTTCATGGAGCTGCCGATCTTGGTGCTGACACGCACGAACTTGCTGAGGTCCCAGCGCGGGATCTTCACCACGCAGTAGTCCAGGCTGGGCTCAAAGCTGGCCGTGGTGGAGTTGGTGACGGAGTTCCTGAGGAGGTGACGGGGTCAGCGGCTGGGGCCGTCCCACCAGGGCAGCACCCTGTCCCACACTGGTGGTACCTCACCTGAGCAGGGGCAGGGGGATGCCCAAGGCCAATTTGGCAGCCACATAAGCCAGTGGATAGCCAGTGGCCTTGCTGGCCAGGGCCGAGCTGCGGGACAGCCGCGCGTTCACCTCGATGATGTAGTACTGTGGGCAGCAGGCGGGCAGGGTCAGGGGGGCCATGGAACAGGCCAAGACAGGGACACGGTGACACGGCCAGGCCCACAGTGTCCCAGGGATGCTGCAGCACGGGGCCTGCTGTGGCACAGCCTCGTGGGACAGCTGGGGCAGGAGCCAGATCCCCCAGGCTGGGGATTGGCAGAATCCCCACAGGGGGCTGCAAGTACCTGCTCTGACTCGGGGTTGAGGGCAAACTGGATGTTGCACTCGCCCACGATGCCCAGGTGCTGCACCACCTTGATGGCTGTGCGCCTCAGCATGAAGTACTCGGTGTCATTGAGGGTCTGGCTGGGTGCCACCACGATGGACTCGCCCGTGTGGATCCCCAGCGGGTCCAGGTTCTCCATGTTGCACACCTGGCAGCAGAGGGGTCACTGCTCCACGTGCTGTCCGTGGTGCGTTCCTCCCAGTTCCCAGCACATCCTCCCCTGCCCAGTCAGGACTGGAATACACGGGGTGGGCATCCCAGCATAGGGTGCAGGGCTCTGTTCACAGGGTGCAGCTCCCAGTGGCACACAGCAGCTGTGCCAGCCCCACCAGAGGCACTGGGGAGCCCTCCCTGGGGACAAGGAGCAGCATGAGCCCCCATCCCCTGCCCCACATCCATCCCCCTGCAGCAGCCCAGGGCCTCCTCCATCCCGTACCGTGATGCAGTTGTTGTAGGCATCCCGCACCACCTCGTACTCAATCTCCTTCCAGCCCTTCAGGGACTTGTCCACCAGCACCTGGGAGGTGTGGGTGAAGGCCTGGCTCACCAGAGCCACCAGCTCCTCCCTGTTGTTGGCGAAGCCAGAGCCCAGCCCTCCCAGGGCGTAGGCAGAGCGCACCAGCACCGGGTACCCCAAGCGCTCAGCTGCTGCCTGTGCCTGCAGGGAGCAAAGGGGTCAGGAAGAGAAGGGCAGGAACAGGAAGGGTCAGGAACAGCAGGGACAGGACCCTACCCCATAGCCCCCAGACCTGCTCCAGGGAGGCAGCAGCCTCGCTGGGCGCCACGTGCTCCCCGATCTCCTCCATCTTCTCCACGAAGACCTTGCGATCCTCCGTCATCTCAATGGAGGCCACGGGGGTGCCCAGCACCCGCACGCGGTACCGCTCCAGGACGCCCGCCTTGGTCAGCTCCACGCCGCAGTTGAGGGCTGTCTGTCCCCCGAAGGTCAGCAGCACCCCATCGGGCCGCTCGTTCCGGATCACCTGGGGCACGGCGAGGGGGACAGAGGCCACGGTGGGTCCTGTGCTTTCCAGCTGCCTCCTCACCTGTGCTGCCCCCCAGGTGCGTTCCAACCCCACCCAGCCCCACTGCACCAGGCTCTGGGCCATGCCCCAGCCCAGCCCCACTCCGATCCCCCAGCTCTGCCACCCCTGCATTCCCAGCCAGCATCCCGGTGCTCACCTGGGTGACGTACTCCGGGGTGATGGGCAGGAAGTACACCTTGTCTGCCAGTCCCTTGGAGGTCTGCACGGTGGCGATGTTGGGGTTGATCAGCACCGTCTGGATGTTCTCCTCCTTCAGCGCTTTGATGGCCTCATGGGGAGCAGAGGGGTCACTGCTGGTGGCCCTGGGCCCCTGAGGCCACTACCACCCCCCTGCCCTGGGACTGGCACTCACCTGTGACCCCGAGTAATCGAACTCGCCTGCCTGCCCGATGGAAAGGCCCCCGGAGCCCAGAATCAGCACCTTGCGGGGCCGGGCTGCCTCCGAGTCCCCTGTTGGTGCCTTGCTGTAGGTCAGCCACTCCTGCAGGCGCTCCCGCACTGTGGGGGGGATGTGGCACGCTGGGGACAGGGCTGGGGACACGCACGGCCCCGTCCTGCAGCCCTCGGCCCAGGGTCCGGCTGCCCCTCACCCTCACACCCACCTGTGCGGGCGCTGCCCTGCCCGTCCCGCAGGTCCCGTGCCGCCTCCACGAAGACATCAAAGAGACCCTCCAGGTCCGTGGGGCCGGCGCAGTGCTCGGGATGGAACTGGACACTGTGGAGGGGGTCAGGCAGGGCACACCCCACGCCCCACAGCCCCACAGCCCCCCAGCCCCACAGCCCCAGGCCCACCTGAAGAAGGGCTTGCTCTGGTGCACCAGGCCCTCGTTGGAGGCGTCGTTGGCGTTGGTGAAGAGCGGCAGCCAGCCGGGCGGGAGGCTGCCCGCCTGCACCGCAAAGCCGTGGTTCTGCGCCGTGATGAAGCAGCGCCGCGAGTCCTCGTGCACGCACGGCTGGTTGTGCCCGCGGTTCCCGTACCTGGCAGGGAATGCAGCTGTGACATTCTCTGAAAAATCCTTTCCTTAGGGTTTCTGCTCCTGAGGAGCTGAGAGGCCTCAGGAACAACACGTAAACAATGGTTATCTGCTGCTGTGGGATGCAACAGGTGCATCTGGTCTCATGCGGTTGTTTCTAATTAATGGCCAATCACAGCCCAGCTGTCTGGACTGTCTTGGTCAGATACAAACCTTTGTGATCATTCTTTTTCTATTCTTAGCTAGCCTTCTGATGAAATCCTTTCTTCTATTCTTTTAGTATAGTTTTAATATAATATATATCATAAAACAATAAATCAAGCCTTCTGAAACCCGAAGTCAGATTCTCTTCCCTCATCCTGGGACCCCTGTGAACACCATCACAAAGGCACACACACAGCTGTCAGCCAGCCCCACAGCCAGAAGCCCTGTGCCAGCTCTGGACCCACACTTGTTGCAGTTGGTTTGGGGGATCCCCAAGCTGTGTGTTCGCTGGTAGCAGCAGGCAGGCAAGGACTCCACACGGCTTCTGAGGGTGCTCATTAGATGAGGGTGCTAATTATTGGGGGTCCCAGCCCCGGGAGCAGCATGGTTTCTGAGGGAGAAGGGGGAGGCAGGGGGAGAGAGGGAGAGCCTGGGGGAAAAGGGCCAAGAGAGGGAAAGGCCAAGAGAGATCCTGGTCCCTCCAGCACAGCCCAACAGGAAGATTCAAAGTGGGCACGGAATAAGATTTGGGCCAATGGAGTTACAGATCCATGACACTGCAGGGGAGGATCACAGGCTTGGAATAAACCGCACATTTTCGAGGGATGAGATAGAGCAAACCATTTAACTAAAATGTACCACCACACCCACTCACTTCATCTTGTAGGTCGAGGCACCGAGGGCCAGGGCGAGCAGTTGGTGGCCCAGGCAGATGCCAAAGATGGGCTTGGGCTGGGGCGCATCCAGCAGCTGGCGTAGGCTGGACACTGTCTCCTGGCAGAGCTGTGGGTCCCCAGGGCCATTGCTGATGAACAGCCCGTCAAAGGCTGTGTCCAGAGAGCAGCAGGGTCAGAGCGGGGCCCCCAGCCCCTCAGCATTACAGAGGGGCTCCCAAGGTGCCCACAGGCTCACTGCAAGCACTCCTGGCAGAGCAGCACCCTGAGCCTGTGGCTCCCCAGACACCCAGCAGGGTTACAGCCAAGGTGTTCTGAGCCCACAGCACCATTCAGGTGCCAGCGAGGCCCTGCCAGTCCCCTATGGTGCCCCAAGCCTCACCAATACCACAGCCCAGAGTGCCCCATGCCAACCACAGCAAGGCTTCCCGAGCCCATGCCTTGCTCCTGCGGTGCCACACTGAGGGCCCGAGCCACCCAGGAATGATGGCACCAAGGCTCCGAAGCGCACAGCACTGAGCAGGACACAGGTACCTGCTGTCCCCAGCACCAAACACACAGACAGTGCCAGATCCCACTCCCCCCACCTGCCCTGTGGGACCCCAGCCTGTCCCCAGGCACTGCCACCTCACCTGCAGGGTCCAGCGGGTGGTCCCAGGGCACCACAGTGACGGCGG